TGTCCATATCTTTCAACTCATCAGTTGTTGGCTCTCTAAGTCTGAATTTGATACCGTCATACGTTCTCTCTTTGATGAATTTGTTGATTTCAGAGTTGGTGGAAGCTCTATGCTTTCTTAACTCGATCTTCCCGGTCACTGGTAAGAAGAGAGCTACTTTCCTCCTCTTTGGCGCTTGCTCATCTGGTACGAACTTGACTGCTAGCTCCTGATGCGGATTGGCAAACCCTTGGTACTGCATATCATAGTTTTTCGCAAACTCAAATGTGTAGTCCGTCGGGGTATCATCGGTGGTTTCTAGCGTGGCCGGGTTCTCTGTAGATGCCGAGTGTAGCTCTCGGTGAAGTTTCGATACCTGCTTTTCATCATCCAACTCAAACAATGAGATCCACTCTCCGTCTTGTGAATTAATGGGCTTGAAAATTGCCGACTCCTGTTTTTGTTTTTGCAATTGCTCATTGTACTTGGCACCCTGTTGCCTTTTTGTCACATCCAACTCCCTCTTTAGCGACGCACTTCCCAAGAACCTCAAGTTCATAAACACGTTGTCCATCATTGATGTATCTGGCAACAACGGCCAAGCTGCAACCGCTTTGGCGTTTTTCTTTCTGGGGTGCCTTAAGCTAGACAAGTTATTGAGGGTTGCGTTGGCTGCATCAAAACTATCTTCCACTGCCTTCAATTGGTGCCCTGCATCCAAGCTGTGTTCCTCGCTGTTCTTTAGTTTCTCGTTAACCTTGGTCTCTTCTGTGTGGGTGCTCACTGCACTTGATTTTGGCAACGACTGCTCCGATATGTATTCTGTTCTTCTCAAAAAAGAGACCGTCTGGTCTGACCTCTCTATTTTACCGATCCCCGCATCTCTCAACAACACCCTATCCTTTGGATGCAATGCAACCGGCTTGTCCTTCAACTGCCCGATACTTGATTGATCACCATTGTCCAAGAATCCAACATTGTCAATCAAGTTCAAATCGAGTCCCAATTGGTCATCTATTCTCTCTAGAAGGCTGCGAAAGTTTTCCTTTCGAAATAACGATGATAACAACTGATCGCCCTCTGTTTTGGACGTGATGGGGGTGGTGGTATTGTATTGGATGAGTTTGGGGTTCGACGGCGGAGGGGGTAGACTGTTGGTATACCTAACCTTGGCAATGTAGTCCTGCCTCACTGGTTTACTTGATCGCAGCGACATGATTTGAGGGGTGGTGAATGCTTTATGGTGTGGTGAAGTTTTTCAAGCTTTTTTGTTAGCTTTTTTGTTTTTTTTTTTTTTTCTTTCAGTGGGATTTTTATGGAACGTTGACGTAATATTTCACTCTCACATCAACAGTTCTTCCTTCTGCATTCTCAGTGGCTCCCAAATTTAATAACAATGTTGGCAAAATCTCCGACCGAGAGCTCTGCAAAACGGTCTTTTGCTAACAAACTATGTTTCGCATCTCCCTCTCCTTGCCATTGCTTCTTGGATCATATTCTACGCCAAGTTTTTCTTCGAAAATAGTGTGTATTACCTATCTACTAAATACTCCAGAAATCTGTCAAATTGCCACCTGCTCCATTGTATGCCAAAATATTTGGGGTTGTGGAGTCCAACCCTGTCAAAACCCCCTTTGTACCGTATTTAATCAATTTTCTCTTTAAATCGGCTGGCTCAATCAATCCGGTGAAATACTCTGAGCTTTGTTCTGGTTGCAACGACAAAAAGTAACTCAACAATCCAGCGATATGAGGACTGGCCATAGAGGTTCCTGACATTTCAGCCGAATCAGACCAAATGAAAGTACTCTCAATCGCTTCTCCTGGCGCAAACACGTCAACACACAGACCCCAGTTTGAAAACGAGGCTTTTGCATCACCTATATTTGACGCACCAACAGTGATTGGACCAACTGCTCTAGCAGGCGAATACTGACAAGCATCTGCATCATCGTTTCCGGCAGCAACAGCAACATGCAACCCAGCTTTGATAGCGGCATTGACGGCCAAATCTAAGGCCTCGGAAATTCCACCACCGATGGACATGTTCACCACTGAACCCTTGAAGCCCTTTTTACCCTTCTTAACAGCGTCTTGATGACTTTGCACGACATACTCAACACCCTTGATGATGTCAGATGTTGTACCTGATCCTAACAAATTCATCACCCCAACAGCGACCAAATCAACTTTTTTGGCGATTCCGTAAGTCTTTGCCCCGATAATACCAGCACAATGAGTTCCATGTCCATGTCCATCAATCCTAACCTTTGGAAAAGCAATGGCATCACCCCATTGAGCACGACCTTCAAACTCTTCGTGCTCCACTTTAATACCCGTATCAATCACATAAGCAGTGACACCCTTACCACCGTCATTGTCGTAAAAGTACTTCCTCTCCTCCCCACCTTCGCGATGACTGACCCTGGAGATACCCCATGGGGCATCTTTTTGAATATCAAACTCGTTGATCTTGAAAATGGCATCCTGTTCAACTAGCTTCACATGGGGATCCTTTTTGATCTTTTCAATAACATCTGTTGTAAAGAACCCCGCGAAGCCGCTAAACACTCCCTCAATGTTAAAAAATTCAAGCTTCTTCAACATTTGCACCTCCCTTGGAGCACGGTCAACAATGCTCAACATGTTGCTGTACTCCAATTGTAACCATTGCGAATATTGCTCTACTTGACTTTGTGACAAGTCCTCCTTGAAAAGAACAACGTAATGATGAGGAACTAGTTTGTTTAAATTGATCAAGTTAGCTTTGTACTCCTCAAAAGTGGGCTCTGCTGGCACACTTTGAAGTAACTTTGCTGGCAAGAATCGGTTGACACCTTCCAAGATAAGGTTGAAGTCTGGGAAAATGAACCCGCAAGCAAATGTCGCAATAAACGAAAGCAAAGCAACTACTAACGTGGGTTGCATGGCTGGATGGGAGATATGTACTACTGAAGATAAATGTGGTGCGGGCGAGATAAGATTATTTGTAGCTTTTTTTTTTATTATTATTATTATTATTTTTTTTACGTGTTGCGGCTTTCAACCCCAAAAGGGGGTAAGCGCCATGGTGTAAGGGAACAACTGGCGATGCAGTAACGTCAGTTTGGTCCGGTCCATGAGAAGGAGTAGCGGCAGATTCAGAGTCAGTAACTCTAGCAGAAGACATATTGTATATATATATATCGTTTATAGACACCTTTGGATAATATTCATTTCTTAAAGATCATCAAAAGATTTCGAACTTGAGAACAAATTAAAATTGGGGAATTCAATCCCTAATTCATAGTGTTGATGAGACTGCGCACAAAAGATGAAACCGACGTGGCTCTGCTGGCAACAGGACTCTTCTCTGAAGCTCACCAGTGCAGGGATTATTAATAATAATAATGATACTTGTAACATAAACTTGTTTCAAGCATATAGTAAGGCGGCTTAGGTAAGTCATTACGTAATAAAATGGTTGTCACTACTGAAATCTTGGCTACCAGAGAAAGCTTGAATTACAACTTCACAACACAACCGATACCTTGTTGAAGTATGACGCTTTCCTCTTCGGTATCCCCACAAGATTTGGAAATTTTCCAAACCAATGGAAAAACTTTTGGGATAGAACTGGCGGCATTTGGCTGAAACAAGAATTACGCTACAAGTATGCCGGAGTGTTTGTGTCTACTGGGACNCCCTTGGGGGGTGGGGGTGGACAAGAAACGACCGTGATCAACACTTTGAGCACTTTGGCATTATCTGTGTTCCGTTTGGTTACGGTTACGCTGGGATGACAAGCTTGGAAGAGGTACACGGATGTTCCCTTTGGGGAGCCGGAACTTTTGCTGGTACCGATGGATCACGTAGGGTGACCGATTTGGAGAAGGGATTTGCCAAGCAGCAAGGCCATGACTTTTACAAAGTTGTGGCTAAGGCTTTATAGGGAGTAAAATGCTTGATATTCCTGGCACAGGCATGGATGGGTCGTCAAAACGAGGCGACGGTATTTCTTACAAGTTTTTTTTATAATATGAGTTTACTACAACTGTTGATTTTTAGTAATAGTTTTAGTTAAAAACACTGGAAATCCAATTATTCATGTATTAGTAAAGTTGGCAAATGCGCGTTTTTGTGTCATCTCAACAAACAACTCTGCAGTAGCCACAAAAAGAAACCCACCAGAACTACGATTATAAGTAGACCTCGAAATCTCATTGACAATATATGAAATGGCAGTGAGTCCCATTGAGCAATACCATGTCAAAGCCCAGAGTCGCTATTATCATCTATTCTTTGTATCACCACATCTCCACTTTAGCTGAATCCGCCAAGGTTGGGGTGGAATCAGCAGGCGCCAAAGCTGATTTATTTCAAGTTAAAGAAACCTTATCTCCCGAGATTTTGAAGTTGGTTCATGCTAAACCAAAATTGGACTTACCTATTGCTGACAATAGTACCTTGACTGAGTACGACGCTTTTTTGTTGGGAGTTCCAACAAGGTACGGCAACATGCCAGCTCAATGGAAGCTGTTTTGGGATGGTACAGGCTCATTGTGGGCATCAGCCGCATTGAGAGGTAAGCATGCTGGAGTATTTGTGAGTACTGGAACACCTGGAGGAGGACAGGAAACGACCGTGATCAACACATTGAGCACTTTAGCTCATCACGGAATCATATATGTTCCATTTGGCTATGGATTCAAGGGCCAAACAAGTTTGGACGAGGTGCATGGTGGTTCCCCATGGGGTGCTGGTACATTTGCAGGTGGTGATGGTCTGAGACAAGTCACCCAATTGGAAAAAGACTTTGCCAAGCAACAAGGGCACGATTTTGTAGAGATGATCAGCAAGTGGAAGCAGTGATTGGAAGGCTTTAGGTTCAGGTTAGGCTGTAGCCTTTATATAAGATTCTTTTAGTTATTTATTACATTTTTTGCGTTGAAGATCTGTAGTATTTTTGTTTACGAATTTGCAATTGATATTTCGGAGATATTGACTCCGTTGTATTGTACTATAAAAATAAACCAATTTTACATTCAGAAGCCACAGTTTAAAATTTCAACAATTCGTCACCCCACAACATTTTCTTTCAACTGCCGCAGCACAGTCCACAGAGCACTCTCGCCATGGCATTTGGATATGATCTCAACAAAGCTTCAACTGTGAAGTTGAACAACGGCCAGGCGATTCCAATTGCTGGGTTTGGAACATATTTGATCCCTGCAGAGAAGGCAGCCACACTTGTTTACGATGCGTTGGCCGCTGGGTACAGACACATTGACACTGCCATAGCATACAAGAATCAGCACCAAGTCGCACAAGGTGTAGCAAATTTCCTCACTGACCATCCACATATCAAGAGGCAAGATATCTGGTTCACCACCAAAATTGCAAACCAAAACCAAGGGTATGAGAATACCCATGAAGCTGTGAAGCAAATCAGCAAGGATGTTAAGGATCTTATTGAGTACGTTGACTTGGTTTTGATCCACTCTCCAAAGACATCCACTGAAAAGCGTTTGGAAACATACAAGGCTTTGCAGGAGTATGTGGTTGACCCAAACAATACTACATTGGGGATAAAGTCAATAGGTATTTCCAACTATGGTGTGTCACATTTAGAAGAATTGTTCAAGTGGGATGGGTTGCGAGTTAACCCCGTGATTAACCAACTTGAATTGCATCCTTGGTTGCCCAGGATTGAACTCAGAAAGTACTTGGATCAGCATGATATCATAGCTGAGGCGTATTCACCACTTACTCAAGGATACAAGTTGGATGATCCTGAGTTGGTGGCCCTCAGTGAAAAGTACAAGTTGAGTCCAGCCGAAATCTTGCTCAAGTGGTCATACTTGCAAGGATTTGTCGTGTTGGTAAAGACCGAAAATCCAAAGAGGATCAAAGAGAACTTGAATTTTTTGCCTGATCCAGACGATCGAACTGGTGCGGATAAGGAGGGTAATAAAACAGGACCTCTCCATTTGGACTCTGAAATCTTAAAAGCATTGGATAAACCAGACTCAAAGGTGGTTCTCACTTGGGGTGGGGTGGATCCAACTTTGTATACGGATGAATAGTGTGTAGAGTTGTATTGTGTATGATATTTTTAGAGGTGTAGAACAAAGTGCATTCGATTATCAGAAACATCAAAATCCCACTGAAAGAAAAAAAAAAAAAACAAAAAAGCTAACAAAAAAGCTTGAAAAACTTCACCACACC